GAATGGCATTGGCTCAAGACCGACTGGACGGACTGCCTGGTTGCATAAAGAAGTGTTCGTGATTGTGTGATTGTGGAAAGGGATTGATCTCGTGTTAGATTGCTCTCGCTGTCTGGATTGTATAGTGGAATTTTGCAGTTTTCGCCTTAGGTGGTCACAGTTTCTCTTAAACAGCCAGCTAACTCTGACTCGAACCCTTCATTCAGAATTTTCTTTCAGAGATACAAGCCACGCTTTCAGTGGTTGCTGCTTGCTCAGTGGAGATTGACGGTGCAAAGCAATAGTTGTTCCAGCTTTTGCCCCACTTAAGGCTATGGGCGGCTACATGCTCCCACCCGAGTCAACATACTTCTGTCATTGGCGCACTACAGCGTTAGCGGCACTGCAGCAAGCTGATCAGCTTCCTCTTTTGTGGTACGTCATCCACAAAAAGATAGCTTTTTGCTCACTTAGCTTTGGGCTGCAATGCATACTCCGCGAAGCACGCAACGACGAAGGTGGCATTTACTCCACTCCAGACTGGTCCTACGGCCCCAGATACCAGTTGGATCTGCTTTGCGACCACGCAAGAAGTGGCAACGAAGTGGCAACAGTGTTCTGGAAAGGCACATTTCTGAAAGACTCGCTCAGCATGGTTGCAGCAGTGCCGCGTTTTCTTGGAACTGGAACTTCTCGGTCCCTGAGGGACAACCGTAACTGCCTTTCAGCTTTGTTTTGACTCAGCCACTTGGTTGCAGACCGTCGAAGCACCCGGCCGCAGCCTCCGCTTTAGTGTTCGATTTGATAACAGCATATGTAATGCTGTCATGTTACATGCAGTCCGCTTTTCTGCTTAGGAAGGACAACGAAGAGGTCAAAGGCTTCAGCCTCGACGTGAAAGGCACTTACAAGACGTCCAGAGTACGTGAGACATTGAGCTTTATGAGACAGCAAGAGCGCCTGCTTTTCGACCGCGTTCGTCCCTTCGGAGCCACTTTTTCGATCGTTACCCTTGCATATCAAAAGAGAGACGTGTCTTTGTCGACCGCCACCCGATCTTTTCTCCATCGCTGAAAAGCGTTTTCAAGGTCTGGGACGACCTGCACGCATTGGTGCGTTCTTCACCAGGTGCCTCCAATTATTGATATGGACATCTTACATTCTGCTTTGTGTCGTGACCTGCTTCTCTGTCAGCAAAGTCTTTCCGCTTTTAGCGGCTCTGACCACTGGCCTTTTGTAGGCTTTTTTGTTCCGCTTTATGGAAAAACCTTCAACTGGGTAGACAATAACGTGGATTGGTTGGAAGATCAACTTCAACTTGCTTCTCACTTCTAGAAGCCAAGATTGCCTTCGACATCGCCAAGCTTGACAACTCTTGAAGCAGGCATGCTACTTTCTTCTCTCTCTACGAGCACAGCCCGCTTGGCATCAACGTCAGTGTCAGCACTTTGTGGGCTGGCATTGGCAGCAGAAGCCAATTCAAGCTCCAAGCGCAAGATTGTTCTTGCCATCGATGCCAGCGGGAAGCTGAAGACTAAAAGACCGGATCCGGCAAGAGCCGACACATTGGAGAGAGGCTGCAAGTGAGCCACCTCAGATGCCAAAGTTGGCAGCTTCGAACAGCGAGTCAAGAAGCCCGACGAAGTCACCTTTATGCGAGACCTGCTCTGATCAGCAAGAACTTAAAACAATTTGCGGTTTGCCGCCTGAAGCGCCATCGTGGAGAGGTTGTGTGATGCGAGAACAGAGTCAAGTCTGGCACTTATGAAGCTTAACCCAACGGCCATGCAGGTTGTAGCTCAGTATGTTGCTCATTTCAAATGCAATGCCGCGACGTGTCAATGCAAGCTGCATTACCAACTCTGTTCTGTCGAAGCCATACCAATGGAGGCGAGCCCATGTTTTGGGTATGGCCTTAAAACGTGCCGCGAAACGGTGACCAAGGGTCGCTGCATCAAAGGTCTGCGTGTAAGTGCATGGCCGAAGTGTGGGAAGGCTCACCCGGCGGCAGATTGTCCACAGAGGTCAAGCGGAGCTTGACTAGATGTGAAGCTTGATAGTGCCGCAGCCGGCCCAGCATCGAGCGATGCGGCATCAAGTGATGCAGCTGCTAAGTGCAGCCCTTCTTCATGCAACGAAGAAGCAATCTTTAGTTCTCCTTCAGGAGCCAGTGCTCCCAGTGACTCGTCTCCGAAGCCGAGTGATGTTGCTGGCGGTCCAGCTAAGCGCTTGAAGAAGGGTCATGGCGTATCCCATGACCAGCCGCGAGTCCAGGTTGGGACTCCGGAATCAGTTCTTTCTCCAGTTTCGTCCGATTTGATCACACGTAATCTTCGAATGCCATCTTTCTTGAGTCAAGGTCATTTTGACCCGCTTTCCATGCATGCTGCTGAAAAGTTTGCATGGACTCTGCTTAGAGCAGAGAGCATCTCCGCGAAAGAGTTGCTTCAGCTGTATGACATGTTACCACATGATCCATCGCCGAGAGCTGACTCAGGTTCGTGCTTCGGGAGCGGCGCCTATGTTCATGGGGGCGTCGTTGGGGTGCGTAATCATGCACGTGACTTTCCCCTTAGCACGATGTGCTTTACTCTGTGGCTTCGGCATGTTTGTCCGGATCATAAGTTCACGTCTTGCGTTGTGCTTGATAACCACACTGCCGATATGCACCGCGACCTCCGGCGTAACTCACCGAAGGTGATGTAGTTTTATTTCCCATGATTCCGATTTTAAAATGTCTCATTTTTGAGCCCGAAGTTTTCCTCAATCGTCTCTTTCTTTTCTGTGAGCGATTTGAGAATGAGTTGCGTCTGCAACGTTGTGGCTCCAGGGTGGGAGGTGGG